CCCCAAAACCCCAAAACCCCAAAACCCCTTAACTCTTATATTGATAAGGATTTGTTGAAATTAAAATAATAAATTAAGAATACTATTGTTAAATCAAAACAAATATGAATAAAGTTAAAAATTAAAATTCAACTGTGACGTCTCTATAAATTATCTAAACCTTCGATTATGAAGGAATGAGTATTGTAATGTTATATAGTAGATATCTCCAGAGCTTTTATCATTCATGAGGGTGAAGTAGAACTCTTGGAGCATTTTAAGTAGTGTTTACATCAATTTTATCTCTCTTTTTTCTATCCCAATTCCATTTATAAATTTTTTTGTATGAGAGGTTTAACTGGCTTGCAAGGTGGTAGATGAATTACTTTGACCAATTCGGATTCTTCTCATAGTATTGCTAAAGTGTTTCGTATGCAGCATACGGTTTCCTTTATTTGATCGGTTTTCCCGAGGAACTGCAATTTGATTTTATTGGCTGTTTATCTGCTGATGATCTGCTGTTCTCATTGAAAAGATCATCAAGCATTTCATTTATTTATAGAGATTGCTGATTTCTAATATTACTTGATAAGTTATCTAATTCTGTAGTCAGATTTTAAGAATCTTTTGATTTATCAGTGTTATCGATTTCAATCTAAACTTTTTTATTTTAAAATTAGCTATCACAGCTGTATTCCACAACATTTTCAGATATTTTTAAATCTTTCTCGCTCGAATAGATAGATTTAGCCGAATTTTATATGCTGACCATAGGAGTAAGCTAATCCTAAAGATGTTATATCTGCTCTTAGAAACATTAAATGCTTATTTAGAAGTTGAGTTGATTATGGATTTGCTACTAATTAAAATCTTCAGATTCGTTCTTTTTCATTACTAAGGACTCTTAGATTAAAATTCCAAGTGTTTTTGAGTAATCTTTAACCAAGATATTATTGAATTAATTGTAGCTCTCATCTATATCTAATGGAAACTAAGCATTGATATCAGGTAATCCAATAGCATTAAAGATATCATAGGCTTAGGTAAGCTAGATGAAGTTATCGTACATAATTATAATACTTTATTTTATTATAAGCCGTTCACAATTATTTCTTAAATATTAAACCAATTAGATTAAAGCTTTAACAGATTTGGACCAATAAAATAATTCGGACCAAATCTATCATATTGCCAGTATCGCTATTCGCAGAATAAGTTTCTATATCGGGACATATGATTCAATTTTGAAGGATTTTTAATTTCATCACAATACGTCAGATTCATCGCTTATGGGGTTTTGGGGTTTTGGGGTTTTGGGGG